GCCCACTATTGTATTGTTAATTAACACCAGGCTGTAACTGTTTACCTGGCCTGAGGGTAATATGCCTCTTATTTTGCATCTGTATGTGCCTAAGCATCTGAATAGGCCCTCACCTGGGAGGAGGTGTGGGTGGTATGGGAGTTAGGAGAGAAGGTTAGGAGCAATGAAGGGCAAGCGGAGAGAGAGAACAAGAGAGAAATGGCTGCCTCATAGTGTCAGCAGGATGTTAAGGGACACCAGAAAAGATGGCTAATAAAAAAATAGCTCTAGTTCCAAACAATGGAACTGAGAGCTCTCTAAAGATGACAAGATGCCTGTGTTTGGTCTTTATCGTCGTTGCGTTCCTAGAAGCTTCCAGGTTCACACACCCCCACTCAGGTAGAACCTCATGGCTGTCGTGGGTTAAAGCTGAGACAAGCCGGGCCACGACAGCAGGAGAAATGAAAAGCAGGGCTGGCAGGTAGAGAGAATAAATAGGAGAAATCTTTGAGAGACAAAGAGGAGGACATCAGGGCCACCCACTCAGCTATACAGCAAGCCACAGAGTAAGAAGTAAAGAAAGGAATGTAAAAAGGTAAAAGCCCAGAGGCAAAATGTAGATAATTTAAGAAAAGCTGGCTAGAAATAGTCAAGCTAATGCCGGGCATTCATAAGAAAGAAAAGGTCTCCATGGGTGTGTATTTATTTGGGAGCTGGGTGGCGGCCTCCCAAAAGAGCCAAAGAATAAAAAGAGTAAAAAACTAATAAAAACCAACTACACACACCCCCACCTTATCTGGCCTCCATGGTCACCAGGCATGCATGTGCACAGACACACACACACACACACCATTAAAAAAGACAAATCAAATTCTACCTTACATCAGAAGAAAAGTTTTGCTGGGCGATGGTGGCCCACGCCTTTAATCCCAGCACTCGGGCGATCCGTACACACACACAAAAAAGAAGAAAAATTTTATCAAATTATTGGGACTAGTATGCTAAGATGAATGTGACTGACACCTGAAAACAGTGACCAGCAATTGGCAAGTTCATTACTTCTGCCCAGTGATTTTCACAATAATTATTGAAACCCCAGACACGTGAAAGTGCACCCATGTCATCCTTCAGGTTTTGCTTTCAGACATGCGTTCCGAGAATCCTTCCTGGAGTTCCTACTCTGCGGTGAGCTGAAGCTGGGGCCTAGGAGAGGGCGCAACTGATAGAGCGTGTGCTTTTCAGGTTAGGGCTGGATCTCAAGCTCCAGGATCTATATACAATTATCAGGCGTGGCGCACATGTTGTAATCTTCACACCAGGGAGGCAGAGACTGGCGGGTCTTTGAGATTCACTGGTCAAGCAGCATTAGTATATTAGTGTATTAATATAGCTCAATTTGGGAGTTCTAGGCCAGCGAGAGACCTTGCCTTAAAATAAAGGGGACAGGGGCCCAAGGAATGACAACTAAGGTTATTGTGCTGGGGAGTTCTATGTCACCTTGACACAAGCTAGAGTCACTTGGGAAAAGGGATCCTCAACTGAGACAGCACCCCTAACAGACTGGTGTGTTGGCAAGCCTTGTTCATTGTCTTGATTGATGGTTGATGGTGGTGAACAGCTGTTGTTGGCTGGTGGCTCTGAGGTGTATAAGAAACTAGGAGGAAGCCAGGCGGTGGTGGCACACGCCTTTAGTCCCAGCACTCAGGAGGCAGAGGCAGGCAGATCTCTGTGAATTCAAGGGCAGCCGGGTCTACAGAGTGAGTTGCAGGACAGGCTCCAAAGCCACAGAGAACCCCTGACTCGAAAAAATAAAAATAAAAAAGAAACCCCAAGTCATATACATACAAGCCCCAGGCAAACAGACTCCCCCCCCCCTCGTCCCTACCAGCCAGGAACCAGAAGCAGTCTGGTTGCAGTCATACTGTGGACTACATATTAATCACACGACATAGAACCTCTCCCTTCCCCTGAAATATGTAAGAAGGGACCCGACATCCTTCCTCATGTTGTGAATTCTCCTCAGGGCCCCCACAGGGGTGCTGTCCACCAGTCTATGCAGTTAATAGCACTTGGGTCTTTTATCCAAGAAGATATTCTACTTTAGTGTTCCCCTGGAATTCCAAACCATTGCATTAGGGCCAGAGAGAAGTAAGCACATAGACGCGCGCGCGCGCACACACACACACACACACACACACACACACACACACACACACACACGGTGGTGGGGTGGGAATAGAAGGTATTTCACTAATTCCTCCCACATCTCTCTGGGGTTAAGTTTCAGGTCACATGTTTGGATCACACACCAGGCATAAAGCCTTTCTGCACACATGAGGATTCAGTTGCCTAGAGCCTATTTTGGTTCAATCTTTGTTCTGAAGTGTTCCTTAGCCATCAACTTAACCCCCTGATTCCCCAAATCATAAGGGGGTGGGGGTAAGCCTGTGGCTTCGATTTCAACAATGCACACCCAGATTTCTGACTCTCCATATGCACGACAGCCCCCCGCTCCCAGCTTTAGCTTTTCAATTAGGAAATTAAAGAGAAAGAGGAAATACAGTTGAGGCTCCAGTCTCTGCCTTGTTAAGTAAAACAGATCTTTGCCTTCCAAACTTCAGAATGTCCTGGGTAAGACTGTTGCACCTGATTCTCCAGGAGAAAGGCACAAGTTAGCAGCAGCCTGGAAGGACAGCCTTCCACCCGACCCAGATTTCTTGTTGCTTGGAGAGGCTATTGTTTACTTGAACAAAGAGCAATCCCATCACAGCTATTAGAAGCCTCTTGCATTGTAGGACCTGGCACAGATGGGGGGAGGAGGGACTCTTGTTAATGAGCTGGAGGTGCTCCTCAGGGCCTGCCACTCCTGCAGACAGCAGATCCCTGCTTCTTCCACTTTCATGTAGGTTTCATACACTGTGACACTGTGTCTGTCACTTCTAGAATATTAGCAATGTGCTGTAAGTGGCTCTAGGCATCTGTGAAATTTTTCATTAAAGGTGTACTAGGAGTCTTTTTTCTTTTTCTTTGAAACAGGGTCTGTTACACATTCTAGCTGTCCTGGAACTCACTATGCAGAACAGGGTGGCCTCAAATTCACGGAGATCCTCCCATCTCTGCCTCCCAAGTGCTGGGATTAAAGGAGTGAGTCATGCCCACGTATGATTTCTAAGAACCAGAACACTAAAATTTTGGGGTTAGGCACTCACGTTGGCCTCAACATTTTATATCAACTGAAAGAGTCTCTGCTATTATCCAAGGCCCATGGACATATTTGCCACATGGGCCTCTCATACCAATTCACCCTGGAATTGTGGCCTCTGAGAAAGTGGCAGTCTCCTATAACACACAAAATCCGGTCAATATTGAGAGAGTGAGTGAATAAAAGGACTGCATTTGAGCCACACAGGACACGTGTGTACTGACACCATTTTTGTCACAGTGATGCCAAGCCTTGCTGGCAGAGGTTTCTGAAGCTTCCCAACTCCAGGAGACACGTTCACCTTGACTCAGTCTCTGCTAAGCTGAAATCAGAGTTTGTTTACTAAAGGGAAACACTGTGGGAATAGAAAACGCTGGTTTTATAGTACAGGCTCTCCTGTCACCTTCCGTTGTGACCTCAGATTGGACATGTGCCTGCCACAAATGCACAAGACAAGGATGGGGGGGGGGTGTTAAGTCATTAAATCTTTGTATGAAGAACCTATTCAGAAGACAGAATAGTAGCAGTTGGCTGTGAGGCAGGACCCGGGCTATAATCACAAAACAGGCAGAAGCCAGAGGTCTAGCGGCTGTTCCTAGCCAGGCGGAGGCTGACCTAACTTGATTCCTAAGGGGAACTGGTGTTTACCATCTAATCCCTAATGGAAAGCACCCGCCCTTGAGCTGTGAGTACATCGTAGCCATCAGCTCTATCTGCTACATTTCTCTCCTGAAGAGAAAAGGCTACATTTTAAAGGGTCGTTTTCTTCCCTGTGAAATTATTTATTCGCTCTCTCTGAGAGCTGCCGGGGTAAACTAAAGCATCTCATGTTTTCAGTTTCAGAAGTAAATTGCTTCTGCGCACATTGTCTTGAGCCTGTGGGTTGTTTTGTTCCTGCCTGTACGTCACGATTTCATTAATCTTCTGGTTTTTAATAGAGGAGCCTTTCATTTATTGCCTCTCCAAAGCTCGGTGCATTGCGGAGAATCTCACAGGCAGAATCGCATTTCTCTTGAATATTTATTGTTTAATTACTGAATACCTACACCGTGCCACAGCAGGGGTCATCCCCAGGTCCAGGACCTTAGAGTTCACTCTCATGAAGTCCTGAGCTCCACGATTCCATCTTTGTACCACCTTGAGCTAAAAGGAGTCGGCTTTTCCATGACACACACATACTTCAATCGTCAGCGATTTAAAACTCGTAGAGGCCAAATTACTCCTTGCCAGCAAGGAAGAGAAAGCTTTCAGCTCCCAAGATCTTCCATTCTTGAAACTCCGGGCAAACAGCCCTTGCACAAAAGGCCACAGAGGGTGGAGATTTGGGGAGGGTTCTCAAAGCGCCTGTTTTGCATCCGTTTGCAAATGTGCTCACGTTGCATTTATTCAGAATCTGTGTTTTTAAATGAAATTTTGGCATTCTGCATTTAATCCCAGCAAGAGCTCTTTGGTATATTGACCTAAAAAGGGCTTTGGACTGCCAAGATCTTGCAACTTGGATAAGATCTTTGGGAAGGCTAAACGAGCCAGTTTTCCGAAGCTCTTGTCCGCACAGGCGCAAGAATCTCTGGGCTGAAAAAGAGGGTTGTAGCCGACCCTCTTCTGTGTCTTCCTCCCGCGAGCCGACCTCAGTTCAGAAGGAAACCTGCTACTGAAGGGCTAAATGCACTCCCACTTCCGTTTAAGCATTTAGTTTCATCAGAGGGAAATTAGACGACCTCTGTTGGTGTGGCCTCAGCCCTGCAAGAAATTCAGCAGACTCCCTAAGCGTAAGCTCGATGCAGGGCCAAAGTCTGCCAGCAGGGGGCGCACCCAAGCTCACAGCAAAGACAAAGGCCAGAAGCAAACTGTTGTGGGGTGGTGAGCGGATGGAGGCTGCTGGGAAAGGCAGGGAGCAGAATCCGAGAGTCAATCAGCAGGGCCAGGAAGAAGATATCTAACCTTTCACCTCCAAAACGAACATTGAAAGTACAGAAACACAAGATTGGCTGTTTTCTAAGAGGTGAGAATCATTTCTAACACGGTTTCAGCTCTTTGCTAGACAGATGTCAAGAGTACCCTCGTTCGTGCGCAGGGACACACACACACGCACACGCACACGCACGCATACGCACAAACACCCCCCCCACCCTGCATCAGCATGGCTTCCAAGGGTGGTGGCAGCCTGAGGCTCAAGCCTCACCCTGCAGGCCTTGGGAAAGCCTGCTCGTTCCTGCTGCTTCTGAAGTTGGCCTGGCCTCAGCCCTGGATCCAGTCCTTTTCTTTTTACCCCACTTCCTGCCTCTCCCCACCCCCGCCAAGCACAATCGGTGACCTCATTCCCACTGCTGCTAGTGCCTTGGGGGAACCTTAGCCAGAGGCCAGCAGACAGCCCTGGCTTCTACCCTGGGAAATCCAACGGCACTGGCCATTTGATTTTGCTTCTTAGAAATCCCCGCCATGTATTTCCTCAAGCACAGAGAGCTCCATCACACGGTGTTAAAAAGCCCCAGGCTGCTGGCCACTTCTGTTAGGATAAAGCTTTAGAGGAACCTTGTATGGATTCCATGGCAGGCGAGGGTGACTGAGGCCGGAGGGGGGGGGGGCAAACACGCCAGGCAGACATAGCTTGAGTGGGAAGTTTTATTAGAAACGGGAGGGGGGGGGGAAGGAAAGAGAAAAGAGGTAAAGAGACACAGAGACAGAGAGAAGACAGGAGAGAAGAGGGAGACAGGAAAAGTCCTGCCTGCCCCAGGGAAGACAGTGGGAAAGAGAAAGTGGGAAGAGAAGAGCAAAGAAAGAGGGTCTTTCTTTTAAAGGGGTCCTTTTGCCCTGCGTGCAGACTACACAGCCATGGAACCCTGGGCTGACCAGGGTACAGCCTGAGTGCATTCTGCCAGGTGCCAGGGGCAGGCCAGCACAATGCTTGAATCCTTACCACTTCCATACCCAGACATTCTCTGTGCTCTAACTTAGCCTGTTGCTGGGCATCTGACAGCTGGCAGAACAGTGTAATCCTGGCAGAAATGATGATATTTTAAAGGCACATTTGTGCTCCCTTCAACATCGGACTACTAAGACAATGGACTCCAAAGAACTGGGATTTCCGTTTGTCGTCTCTTACAGGGAGAATGAAAAGCTGGGAGTCCTCTTGGTGGCCAGACAGGAAACTTGTCTCCCAGGAAGAGACTTCACTCTGTTAGACTGCCTGGCAGGACGCACTGGAGCCCCAATAACAACAGCGGTCAGTGATGGGCAGGATGGCACCTGAACCAAGCCTGCTTGCTGTGCACACTGTGTCCCTGTTTAAATCTAAACCTCATGTCAGGACTCTGAAGATGGAGTTAGTAGGATGTGTTTGTTCCTCTTGAAATGGAACCACCTTGCACAAATCTTCCGGTTGACCCGTTGCAGGTAGATGGCTTATCCTGGTTCATTCAGGCTGCCAGGGCCCTTCCAGATGCTGGTCCTCAACACATCAGTAACAATAGGACAGAGAGGTACAGAATATGGCACCCATTGAGTGGAGTCTGGGAAAGAACTGGAAGTCACCTGTGGGTGACCTGTCTTTTCTTTCAGGTCACCAGGAAACTGGCTTCTCACTATGGACTGGAGACCTGTAGCAAGGACTTCCAAACAAGCCATCAGATGGCCCCACAGAACATGAGGCCTCAGTGTTTGACTTTTTTTTCCTGCCATCTGGAATGTCAAGGTCCCTATTCCAAGTACATTTTTTCCTTAGCTACACAGCCAGGCTTTCCTAAATATCCACAGTTATGTGGCCCTTTTGTTGTGGCTTCAGTTTCCTGTGTATCCTCAACACAAGAGAACAGAGGACCAGGAGGAGAGGGGAAAATGAAAAGTTGTTTGCTTTCCTGTCATGCCCCAGTGAACCCACGACTCCCCCACCCCTCACAGACCTGGGAAAGACCCAGAATGCCACTGTGGTCAGAACATGCTGTATTTGATTCATTTTCATTTTTAAGATAAAAAGTTTTATTTCAGAGAGAAACACAAAGCCCTGGGTGTTATGGATCAGCCAGGATTTGACAGGGTTCTGGGACTTTCAAACTGTACAAAATAAATTGTATCATCCCTTGATAACCCAAAGGACACAGTGGCCACATCCTAACCCAGGGTCCCCCACCCTGGACCCCAGCTCTGCTCCTCATGGGCTGCAGGAAGACTTGTAGCACTCTTGTCTCATTTAGGCCACTTAATTATCAGATGTGACTGTGTCTCCCCATGCCCGTGTGAGGGTTAATACTGACTGTCAGCTTTCCAGGTCCTACAGTCACCTAGGAGACAAACATCTGGGCATCCGTGTAATGAAGTTTCTAGATCGGGTTAACTGAACTGGGACAATCCATCCTAATTATGGTGGTACCACTCTGCAAGCTGCCGCCCCGGACTGAATGAAAAGGAGAAAGTGAGCCAAGCGTCCATCTCTCTCTGCTTCCTGAATTTGAATGCAAAGTAACCAACCTGCTTCACACCTCTGCCTTCTCTGCAGTGATGGGCTACACCCTCCATCCTTGAGCCAAAAATAAACCCTTCCTTGCTTATGCTGGTGTTGCCAGGTGTCTTTGTCCAAGCAGGGAGAAAAGTAACTGATACATCCTGCCATGATGCCATCTTAAATCAGGGGCTCCGCTTACCTCCTGAACTGTACCAGCCTCCTTACTATCCCCTTGAAGCCACAGCCTTGATCTCCCTCTGTTCTTACAATCACCACTCACATGTTCATTCATGGTGTATGCACTGGTTGAGCGCCTGCTGTGTGCAGCATAGTCCTGAATCCTGGGGCTGTAACACTGGTGGGAACTGAAAATCTGGTCATATTCCACCTCCAGTCACTCTCAGAGGAAGTGGCAAGCCAAGGGCGACAGGTCAGCACCAGGAAGGCCTGGGATCTGCCGTCCCTGTCCTTCCTCACTGGAGGCTGAGAGGGTACAGGTGCCACCTTCACAGACTTCAACTCCCAGAGTATCATGAGCGACTTAATGCTCAGCTCATTATAATCACCCGGCTTCTGGTGTTCTGCTAGAGACACAGGACATAGAGGAGCTCCCCTCCCTTCCTTCTGTGTTCAGCTGCGAGCCCCATCACCAACGCTCACCCTAACCCCATAATGCCTTCCCCGTGCCTCCCTAACTTCTGTTCTCACCGGCTATGCTGAGCTGACTGCTCACGGTTTCTCTGTAATAGCACAGTTCCCTCTCAATGACCCTCCTTGGAAAACCTGTCCTCACAGGTGTGCCACAGGTGTGCCACTTCCCTGCAGGTGTGTCCCTTGCCCCACTGCAGGTGTGCACCTGGTATGTCTGTTTTCCCTGACACTGACCCAACTCAGTCTTTCTCCTTGCCCCATCGTTCTTTTCACTATTTGTAGTCACAGACAAACACAGTAACTAACTTCGACCATGCGGCACCCCTGGATATTAGGATGTTACTAGGTGTTTCTGACCTCCTGGTGACCTACTAACACAGACACTCACACACACATGTCCATGTATATCATTGTTTTAGATGCTAGTACAATGAGGCAGGAATCGCTGTGTGAAACACAATGGGATAATGGAAACTGAGGTCATAGCACACAAGAAACACCTTCCTTTTCCCCCACAGCACCCAGAGGGCAGAGGAAGGGCCTTTTCCCCTGACCTAATCCTTTCCTTACATCCTTTGCCCTTCGGGATCCTGCTACTGCTCGTGATAACCCAGTCTGCAGGAAGGGTGTGCATAGCCCACAGAAACAAGGAGGAGCCACTGTCCCCGGTGGGGAATGGGTCTTCATTTGCTGTCCACCTTCCTTGATGACAATCTCAGCACTGAGCTGAGCTCCACCTATTACAGCTGTTCTGCCCTCCAGTCACCAGAATCCTGTGGATGGGGAGGGTTCCCTCACCGTGTTCATCCCCAACATACCTGCACTTACGGCTCTGCCCTGCCGCTTGAAGGCTGCTTGGTGGACTGTCTTCTTCCCACAAATAACCAGGTTTTACCCCGATTCCATGCTCCTACACCAAGCACTGAGCAAAATCACATTCTTACTCCTGGGTTCCCAACGGCTGACCTGATAGATACATCACCAAACAAAGGCAGAGTGAATCAAGGACCACTGTCTGACCCGTCTGAGATCGAGTGCCATTTATTATGCCCAGAAATTGACTCACCAAACCTGGGAGGCTCAGGCACTCGCTCACAGGGTCTGACTCATCCTGATGCCCCTTTGCAGAATTTAGTAGTCAATGTTCTGGTGGGAGCAGGAGGGAGAGGGGGAAGTCTTGAGTGACAGCAGCGGACGGACTGCCGGATGTGCCTCCTATTCTTCTAACCAGGACGGCCCAGTACTTAATTGTGTTTAAGGCTTTTGCACAAGTTCAAGGACAAAGCTAGCTGCAGACAACTCACTCCAGAAGGCAGAGCATCTCCGCTTGGCTTTTCTGTAGTCACATGAACTAATCAGACTGGAGAGGTGACTCAGATTAAGAGCACTGGCTGCTCTTGCAGAAGACCCCGGTTCTACTCCCTGTACCCACAGGGTGATTTCAAACGATCTGTAACTGTGGCTTCAGAGAATACAAGGTTGTCTTTTGCACGCATGTGGTTTGCTTCCACGCAGGCAGCACATACACATAAAACAAACAAACAAACGAACAAATCTTTTAAAAACTCAAATTAATTTTGAATTGTTTGGGTTGGTTTCCTGTTTTATCTTTATGGGGGTTGGGGGAGGACTCCGGCTATGGAATCCTTGGGTCACTGTTTGTTTCTTTGTTTATTCCAGTACTGAGATCAAAGCCAGGCCTGGCAGCAGTTTAGGCAAATGCTCTTCCAATGCACCTCAGCCTTCCTGTTGCCTTTAATTTCGAGATAAGGTCTCACTCACCAAGTTGCCCAGGTTGCCTTGAATTGCCAATCCTATGGTCTAAGTGTGCTGCACAGCTGGGATTGCAGGAAGGCCCCCCCAGGCTCAGCCTAACCATTGATTTTTATTTTATTTATTTATTTATTTATTTTGTTTTTTTCGATTCAGGGTCTCTCTGTGTAGTTTGGAGTCTATCCTGGAGCTAGCTCTTGTAGAACAGGCAAGTTTTGAACTTATATAGAGCCTCCTATCTCTGCTTCCCGATTGCTGGAATTAAAGGTGTGTACCACCACTGCCTGGCACCGTTGATTTTTAAAAGTGTGCCCATTGCTGTGATTTCAGACGCTGCTGTTTTGAAATATGTATTTATTTTATGGACATGTGTGTGGATGGGTGTATATATGTGTACCACAAGTGTGCAAGTGCTCTTAAAGGTCAGAAGAGGGCATCTGGTCCCTTAGAACACGAGTTATGGGTCCTCTTGCACTCCTGTGTGGGAGTTGGGAACTGAACCCCAGTCCCCTGGGAGAGCAGCAAGTACTCTTAACCAGTGAGCCACCTTCACAGCCCTTAGCTGGAACCTCTATAACTCAGCATAGGAAAGCTTTCTGCTTTCACCGTGTGGTTTTGCAGGGACTGAACTCAAGTCATAGGTATGGCAGCAGGTAGTCCCACTGAGTCACTGTGTCAGCCTGAATACATATATTTTAAAATGTAGGTTCTGTGTGTGATAGAAAATGAAATGTTTGTCTTTCTGAGTAGGGCTTATTTTGCCTAATGGGACAATCTCCAGATGCATTCATTTTCCTGCCAATGATATAACCCACCCTTCTGTGTGGCTGAAGAGAACACCACAGAACTTGTGTGTTATGATGTCCCTGCCAGCTCATTAATGGGGGTATCTAGACTGTGATCCCTCTGACAATGTTACCATGGGACACCTGGCTATGACCACTGCCCTTACTGCTATGGAAACCACAGAAGCAGAGTGGGTAGCCAAGGCCAGAGGAAGGAGTCCTGTAGACAGAAGTTACAGAAGTTTCTGCAGTCCCAAATAAATACACAGAGGCTGGGTTATGATTTTCCTTAGCTATGATACAAAATAAGTTACATATAAAACATATAGACGCACAAAGATAGGATAGCTGATAGCTGATCGAATATTTTCTTTAAATTTTGACATATATGAGTGTTCTAAATATTGTTAACTATAGTTCTTGTTTGATAACTATTTTGTTATGTATAATTTTACTATGTTAAAGTTAAAAATCTTACTTTTTATTTAGACAGAAAAGAGGAAATGATGGGGATGTCCTTCTGTATGCTGTGAATATATGTTTCTCTTATTGGTTGATGAATAAAGCTGTTTCAGCCAATGGATAGACAGGATGTAGCCAGGCAAGAAGTATAAGTGGGGGCTACCAGACTAGGAGAATTCTGAGAAGAGGACTCTGAAAGAGGAGCCACAAGGGAGATGCCATGTAGCTACTGGGAAGATAGGATTCTGGACATTCTCCAGCAAGTCAAGACCATGTGGAAATACTTAGATTAATAGAGATGGGTTAATAATTAAGAGTGAGCTAGCCAATAAGAAGCCTGAGCCATCAGCCAAACAGTTTATAATTAACAGGATGTAGCCAGGCAAGAAGTATAAGTGGGGGCTACCAGACTAGGAGAATTCTGAGAAGAGGACTCTGAAAGAGGAGCCACAAGGGAGATGCCATGTAGCTACTGGGAAGATAGGATTCTGGACATTCTCCAGCAAGTCAAGACCATGTGGAAATACTTAGATTAATAGAGATGGGTTAATAATTAAGAGTGAGCTAGCCAATAAGAAGCCTGAGCCATCAGCCAAACAGTTTATAATTAATATAAGCCTCTGTGGGGCTGGAGAGATGGCTCAGAGGTTAAGAGCACTGATTGCTCTTCCAGAGGTCCTGAGTTCAATTCCCAGCAACCACATGGTGGCTAACAGCCATCTGTTATGAGATCTGGTGCCTTCTTCTGGTGTGCAGATATACATGGAAGCAGAATGTTGTATACATCATAAATAAATAAAATCTTAATATATATATATGCCTCTGTGTGTTCGCTTGAACACACACTCCATCTGAGGCAGCTGTGACTCTAGCCTCTACTCCATCTCGTACAGCAGAAGTTGGGTGAGTGCCTGCTGTGCCTGTTTTTCTCCCGTATGATGGACTTCTCTAACTGGCACATGGTAAGGATTGGTAGTTGGTTTTTAATTTTTTTTTATGAGATGGCCAGCGGCTTTATGTGGTCATAGTGGGGACTAAGAGTGAGAGTCATGAGAGAGACAAGGCAGAAGAGAATGCTTAGAACCCAGGAAAGAGGAAAGGGAGGAAGAAGTTTCAAATTGTATGTTTGGGCATCTGAATATTATCACACCTCAAGGGAACTATAGAGTCGTGGTTCTCAACCTATGGGGCATGACACCCTCTGGGGGTCAAATGACCTTTTCACAGGGGTCCCATATCAGATAACCTGCACGTGAGATATTTACATTATTGTTCACAACAGTAGCAAAATTGCAGTTATGAAATGGTAACAAAAATAGTTTTATAGCTGTGGGTCACCACAACACAAGGAACTGTATTAGGAAGGTTGAGAGCCGTGGCTGCTACAGAGGAAAGGGAAGGGGAGTAGGGAGAGAGGCAAGAGAAGGTAACTGGA